CCCGCGCCTTCTAAGAAGCAGGAGTGCTTCTAAGAAGCTCTCCCCCCTCCCCCCGCCCCCCTCTGCGCGTGGCTGATTGGAGGAAGGATTAATTCCAACATCGTTGATGACTCTTGGGTTTCCACTGGTCCTCCTCCTCGTCCTCCTCCTCCTCCTCCTAGTGGTCCGCCTCCACCTGATCCTCCTCCTCCGCCTCCTGGTGCTCTCACACCTCCCTCTCCTCCTGCTCCTCCTCCTCCTGTTCCTCCTCCTCCTCTTCCAACTCGCCCTCTCGCTCCTCATTCTCCTCCTCCTCCTCCTCCGTCCTCATCCTGATCCTTCTCACCATCACGTTATTGCCTTAGTTTTTCTCGTCGGTCTTATGTTGCTGGTAGCATTCTGCTGGGGTCTCGCAAGAGTGGCGTCGCTGGTAGATGTGGCGGTAAGTTTGCCAAAAACATTAATCAAATATGGCCGTACATGATTGACTCTGTGAGGAGCCGTGGTGGGAGATGCGATCCTGCACACGTGCGAGGCAATCGCCGAACCACTGGTTCCTGACCAGCACGTGTGCCGAGCGCCCTGGGGGAATGACGCGATGGCCATATCACAGCTAAGAAGACATGTCATGAGGAAAACCATGCTAAAAAGACAACGAGGGTTACACCGATAATTACTGTCAGGCAGCCTCCTGGCCCCAGGTGGGAGGGAGGAGGAGGAACGAGGGGAAGGAGGGTGGAGAAGGGAGAGGCAATCCAGAAACGTACGCACCAATTTGACTGCAAATGGAGGTGCTAGTGAGACCACCTGACTATCATGTTGACCCGGGTTCGCCGAACGCGTCCCTCTGGCGGTTCGGGGTACAGGCAGGAACAGTCATAAGGATGCACGGTCAGGGTGCAAGGCACCTTGGTGTCCACGTTGTGACAACTGGCAAGCGCAAATGATCGGCGAGGGCCGGAACTAGCTAAGGATGCAAGGCGTCCGTAGAACACACCAGGCCTCCGCTGCAATCTCCAGGGGCAGGGTCACGAAGAGGAGGAGGAGGAGGAGGAGGAGGAGGACGAGGACGAGGACGAGGAGGAGGAGCGAGCCAGTCCGGGCCCAGGAGTGTCCGGCGGGAGGGCGGAGCTGCGGCGGCAGCGGAAGCGGCCTACGTAAGAGGAGCTGCCGCACGTGCTCGGCACCCTCCGGGAGGGGGGGCTCAACCCCCACGTCGGACGAGGACACTCCTCCTCC